TTGAATTCTTCAAGGGAAAGGTTAGAGTTAAACATGTTGTCCTCTAGTGGTATAAGTCCTAAAAGGATTTTTATCCCATAAAACCTATTTAGGAATTTTTTTTACATGATTATAAAAAATTAAAAAGCAAACTAATCTCCAACCGTCAAATAGAACATCAAATAGAACTATCGTCAGTGAGACCTGCAAATAGTTCAAAAAAACCCACTTAAATCAATGCTTATTTGGAAACTTTAAGCAATAAATTAATTTTTTGTTTATTTTTTGTGGGGCATACACTAAAAACCCCTTCTCAATCCTTGCTATAAAAATGTCCTAGCATTGTTAGAACATAGAAGCATCAGCATTAATGAACCCCTTGATTAGGTTTACAGCTGAATTTTTTTTTTGACTTTTTAAAAAATAAATAAATAAAGTGATCAATAACGGATCGTCACATGGCATGGGGCCTACAAAATAGTGATGAACCAGGTTCATCCCACTAAACTCCCACAATACAGGTTCACAAATATATGATTTTTATATTTTTTTTTCTTGGAAAAGGGGTGAACCCTCCTTTTGAATCCTTAGAGCACCCCCATCAAGGGTTGATGGGGGGAGTTCACACGGAAACCGAGAAAAAAAAATAATATTAAAATTAGATTTCTATGAACCTCTCTCTCAAAAGTTCACCGCGGTGAACCCCGATGACCCCGGGTTCACCACGTGTCAACATGTGATTGGTCCAAAATTAATTTTTTTTTTTTTAAAAAAGTAAACGAAAATAACAAAAAAAAAAATATTTTTTTATTTCTATGAACCCTCAAGGGGGTTCATCAATGTCGGTGCTCTTAACGTGGTTGCTCTAATAGCCTCTTTTGTTGCTGTACTATTGGAGCATTAAACTAGTATGCGTAAGATCTTCTAAAATTCAGTTTACGAACAAAAATAGAAGATTGTTGGTTGGGAAATATTGGAACAGACGAGAGAGAGTGTGGCTACGAAGAGGAGAAGAGATACAGAGGCACACACTCACTCAAAAGCAAAACCATTTTGGTTAAACCGAGAGACTCGGTCGGAGTCTAGAGCCTGTCTCTTCCGACATCGTCTGTCACACCTCACGTGCATGCTCGCCCACACTCACGTGCACATGCATTCTTAAGTGTTATTTTTTTTAAAACAAAAAATGTTTTTTGTAACGACAAAAGATAATCTATTTATTGTCCTTTATTAAAAAAAAATTATTGACCTTTTTATTTGTATATTAAAACAGGGAGAATTAGGAAATATCTCAGAGAAAATTAATTTTGTTTTATACGGTGCATGAGTAAGAAAAAAACTGAGGAAAGAATAAGTTTGCAGAGTGCATTTCTCAAAAAAGAAAGTTTGCAGAGTGCATAAAGGGACCCTTTTATATATTATTGATATTATACAGAAGCAAAATGTCAAGAGTGAGAAGTAAGGAAAGGTGATATATTGAGAATTTAATCAAAACAATGATGGATGATATTGGGATCGTTTTGATGAGTGGTTTCTAAACACATCAATTGGTGTACGTACATATACCTTCACGCGCAGCTAGTACTGACCCAAGAGTAAAAAATCTAAGCATGCTTACTTTTATCCTTGTTGAGATTTACTTTTCTAGTGCCATATCTTTTGAGATTTTGATCATATACACATATGTTTAAACTTCAACTCATCCAACGTTTACATTCCTTTTTGGATATTTTCATCAAATAAAGGTTTTCTATAACAGATAGTAAACAACATAATGTTTTTTTTCTTCTTTGCAGAAATGTAGATGACTAATTAATCTAAATAGAAAGTATTCTTGACACTGAACAAAAAAAAAAAAGTATTCTTGACTATTCTAAAATAGAAAGTTAGCTAATTAGCCTAAGTTCATAGCTATTTTTGCAACCGACGCACTTCTTTCAGTTACTGCATCATTAAATTAGTGAGAAACAGAAGTGCAATTCATGACTAATCTTTTTTTTTGACGGAAGGCTAACTAATCTTTGGTATTTCTTGTTTAATAACCTCTAATTAAACACTATATGAGCTCTAATAGTTTTGGTGTAATCTCAGTGTTGTGACATATCTTACGTTTTTACTTTAGAGGTTACCACTTGGATTCTTTATATAAAGCTTGAAATGCTTTAATGTATTTGTTTTCTTATGTTTTGATCAAAACGTTGATTATCAAAGATACCTGGATTTTCTGTTTAATAACTCGAATTTTTAATATATATAAAAAGTAAATTAAAAGTATTAACTGTATACATGGAGCAATCATCTTCAAGTACTGGAGTAAAATCAGTAAGAATATACAATTTAGTAAGAGTCAAAGTTGTTCACGAAACATGTTTAGTTGTATTCATTTTAACTAAACGTAGAATAACTTGAAGTCACACTACTACATTACATCTACATACAAATAAATAAATAGTAATAATTAGGTCAAGACCTCCCCACTAAGAACAACTAAATATAATCAAAAACAAAAAGAGAAAAGTTTACCTGATTTTGGGGATAAATTAAACTACCTGTTTTCCGGAAACAAAAGTTTAATCATACTACTATGCTAATTTTACATCAGTAAGAAAGATGGCGTTGAAATGAAAAAAAACAATTGAACATTAAAGGGAAAGGTTTTACTATATATTATATACGTAGATAGCTGAAAGTAAGGAACTATACCATCTACCTCTGTCCAAATTAATTGTAAAGCACTTCAAACATAATTTAAAAAAAAACTACACTGTATTTAAAAATCCAGGAGATTAATTATTATTTCTCTGGAAATTAATTATTACACATGAAGTTTAGCTTTAATTGGAGTATAATGATGTCCGTAGTTCTGTAAACATGTAAAGTTCTCCTCCTTTTGAGGTGAGTGGGTGCTCCTTTGCGTATCAAAATATATTACTATTAATAATCATAGTTTAAAAACTACAAATGCAACATTTATCAGGATTAAGATATAATAATATTTTTTGTGAATAATGTCAAATTATATTCAAGCAAACAAAACTGTGTTACATCAAATGTATCAATTTATTTTTATGTATTCAACTCTGTAAAATAGAGAATTTTCCTCAGACTCCATATGAATTATATCTTATTCATATGAAAGAGTAAGATATAATTATTTCTAATATTTTTTTGTTCATGATTCGTTACTTTTTTTTTGAAAACACTTGAGTCGTCTATCCACTGAATTTAATTTATAGTATAGAACATTTACAATCTCATTCTATAATTTATTCTAAAATAAAGTTAAAAAAAAAATTCACTTCTAATAGAAAAAAATCACTTCTGACTAGTTACTTTTCTCGCACTAGCCGGACATGTCTCAACCTGAATAAACAAAACGTACAATTTTTTTACAATTTATGCTGATAACAAATATGATATGATCTTTATGATAATATATATATATATATATATATATATAATATGAAAACTCTTTTGTATTAGCCCCCTATATATTATTTGTGAATAGTTTTGGCAAATGTCATCTCTATAATCCGTTTCACAAAAATATATAATATAACCACTAAAATTGATGACATGACTTATGGCAAAATATGACATAGATAATTATATTTAATGTTGATTTATATGTTTGGTAAATTTTTAAATATGATAATAATACATACTTTATATTTAATGTTGATATTTATTTATGTTGATAACACATACATCATCTTTAAATTAAATATATTCAAATATAACATTACAAATTTTGAAATATTCTATTTTATTTTTTTATTATACAATTTATATTACTAAAGTTTTCAAAAATTGCTATAATTTTTTAAAAAATATAAATTTCTAATCATAAAATCATTAGTTTATTATATATCTACAAATTATGTAAAATACTGTTTAGTTTAAATTTTTGATAATTATATAATTTATATCACTTTTCTTAATTTTATACACATTGACTCAATATATTAAAGTCATATAAATAAAAAAAATATCTAAGATTATAATTTTAAGTATATACATACACATATACACACACACAAACACATATATATATATATATTCTTAAATATAATTTTCACTAAACAAAATTATTTTATTTTAATTTAATGTTTAACTAAATCAAATATATATTTGAATATTAGTAAGAAAATAATAAAATCTATAATATTAATAAAAGTTATTATTAAATATAATTTAAGCTTAAATTTTTTTCGTATGGTATAGAAAAACACCTAGTTATCTAGTAACAAAGAATCTATAAATAATAAAAAGGTGGGTAGTTTATATAATTTGAATTAGTTATTTAAATATGTTTACTTAATTTGGCTTGCCTTTCCTTTTTCTTTTGAGTCATTTTTTATCCACTGAATTTAATTCATAGTATATAACATTTACAATTTCATTCTATAATTTATTCCAAAATAAAGTTAAAAATAAAATAAAAATTCCACTTCTATTCCATCTTTCACTTTCTAATTGAGTAAATATGGATTTACTCCATAAATATAATATTGTTTGTTATTTTTTATTCTAAAAAATAGAGTATAATTGAATAAGCTCAACTATATTACAGAATTACTTCATTTTGGAAAAGAAACTATGACTTATACTAGTGATGCTCTTTCTTAACCGATATGATGATGTTGTTCTACTAGTTAATTTTGCACTATGAGAATTTACATGAAACACTATGAGAAATTACATGAAAGCTTTTCATATTTATTCTGAACCCGCCATAAAATTAAAATACCTTCATAAGAAATTTCATGTCATCAACGTAAAAGAAAAATACATCTATAAAACTAACAGAAATTTAAAACCGTGGACAATCCAACAGCATATATTACTTACAATCTGAAAAAGATAAAATGAAGAGTTAAATAGATGTAATACAAAAATAAAAGGTGGGACCGACAAGAAAAAGACACCAAAGTCGAGTGGCACGTAAGATGACATAAGAAAATATTTCATCTTTCCGCATGTATCCGATCCCAATCGGCTTAAAGTCTCAAATATAAAAAGAAAAAAAACAGAGAAAATAAAACACTTCAGAATTTGCAAGAACACCAAAAGAAAAGTTTTAAAGCTTTTAATAGCTTAAATAAATCTTACAGAGATGCTCTGAAGTTTATATCTTTTGTATGAACCTTAAAGAAAAGAAGCCTCTGTTTTCTTTTCTCTTAAGCAGAATGATCTTTTGTTGCAAAATCATTATCTAGTGTCTCTCGTGCTCTTCATCTCGTTGGTTCTGTTGAGGAACTCTCCAAAAATAACCTTTTTTGATCTTTACTTTCTGGAAACCATGAAAGCTCCATCAAATGGATTTCATCCCAATCCAACCGAAGGTACGAGCTTTTTTTATGTTAAGTGAAAAAGAAATAATAAATTATTTCTCAACCTTTCTTGATTTGGAGTTCATCACAGTTTCTGCATTTCATATTTTGTGATTTTCTTGATTTCTAATTATTCTATTACAACATGGAGTCAGCAGAAAGCCACAAATCTAGTTCGTTTCAGTGTATTTAATACAGTGGTTGTACATAAATGCCGTTTTAAAAAAAAAAAAATAGTTTCATATTTTAAATGAAAAAAAAAACTAAAAATTTTAATATTTTTTTTTGTTTGTTGTGATGAACAGAAGAGAAGAAACCAATCAACTCTCAGCTATGGCACGCTTGTCTATGGCACGCTTGTGCAGGCCCTCTGGTCTCATTGCCACCTGTGGGAAGTCTTGTTGTTTACTTCCCTCAAGGACATAGCGAACAAGTATGTTCCAAACGCCAAACAAAAAAACATTTGGACCATTTTAACTGCAATCATCAGTCACAAGTAATAATATGATCAATGATCTATGTTCAGGTTGCAGCATCAATGCAGAAGCAAACTGATTTTATACCAAACTACCCAAATCTTCCTTCTAAGCTCATTTGTTTGCTTCATAGTGTTACTTTACATGTAAGCCTTTTTTTTTATCTCAACTTGCTAATCAAAATCAGAGAGAAGAGGAAGAGGAAGTAATCATAATTTGTGAAAATCTGAATCAGGCTGATACAGAGACCGATGAAGTCTATGCACAAATGACTCTTCAGCCTGTGAATAAGGTATCATTTTACCTTATGGTCTTGGTTTACTTTTGGGAAACTTCAAAGCTGATCTTTGCTTGATCATCCAACATTCAGTACGACAGAGAAGCATTGCTAGCTTCTGATATGGGTCTAAAGCTAAACAGACAACCTACTGAGTTTTTCTGCAAGACACTTACTGCGAGTGACACCAGCACTCACGGTGGGTTCTCTGTACCACGTCGTGCAGCTGAGAAAATATTCCCTCCTCTTGTATGTTACTAACCGAAAGCTACTCTTTAAATTGCTTTGTCTCTTATGCTTTTACTAAAGTTCTTAGGATGCTTAAAACAGGACTTCTCAATGCAACCGCCTGCACAAGAAATTGTAGCTAAAGATTTACACGACACTACATGGACCTTCAGACATATCTACCGTGGTAGGTATCCACCATATCAAAAATTGGTTTATAATAAAACTGAAAAAAACATTAAACTGATTTGTTGTCTTATCTCAGGCCAACCAAAACGACACTTGCTTACCAGTGGTTGGAGCGTTTTCGTTAACACAAAGAAACTATTAGCTGGTGATTCAGTTTTGTTTGTAAGGTATGAGCTACCATACTCAGATCAGAACACTACTAAGAAATGGACTTTGAGTTTTAAAATGAATACCGTTTTTGCAGAGATGAGAAATCACAGCTGACGTTGGGTATAAGACGTGCAAATAGACAAACACAGACTCTTTCCTCATCAGTCATATCCAGCGGCAGTATGCACATTGGGATACTCGCAGCTGCAGCTCATGCTAACGCCAATAACAGTCCTTTTACCATCTTCTTTAATCCAAGAGCAAGTCCTTCAGAGTTTGTAGTTCCTCTAGCTAAATACAACAAAGCGTTGTATGCTCAAGCATCTCTTGGAATGAGATTCAGGATGATGTTTGAGACTGAGGATTGTGGGGTTCGTAGGTATATGGGTACAGTCACTGGTGTTAGTGATCTTGATCCTGTTAGATGGAAAGGCTCACAATGGCGTAATCTTCAGGTAATGTAGTTAAACTCATCATTTCTTTAGAGCTTTTGCTGAAAATATTTTTTTCTGCTCATGTCTGAACAGGTAGGATGGGATGAATCAACAGCTGGAGATAGACCAAGCAGAGTATCTATATGGGAGATTGAGCCAGTCATAACTCCTTTTTACATTTGCCCTCCTCCATTTTTCAGACCAAAGTATCCGAGCCAACCGGGGATGCCAGGTAAAGTTTACTTCATTGATCTTTGATTGAGTTTATGGACACTAATCTTAAAGAGGTGTCTGTTGCAGATGATGAGGTTGACATAGAAAATGCCTTCAAGAGAGCAATGCCTTGGATGGGAGAAGAGTTTGGGATGAAAGAAACGCAGAGTTTGATGTTTCCTGGTCTAAGCCTTGTTCAGTGGATGAGTATGCAGCAGAACAACACATTGTCAGCTAGTGCTGCTACTACTCAGCTATCATCCGCTTATAACCTACCAAACAATTTTGCTTCCAATGACCCTTCAAAGCTGTTGAACTTTCAATCACCTAACCACTCTCCTGTGAATTCACAGTTCAACAAGCCGAACATGGTTAGCCATCTTAGTCAACAGATGCAAGCACAGCCAACCATGGTAAAATCTCAAGAACAAGAACAACAACAGTTGCAGCAACAAGTACAGATGTCACACCAACAACTGCAGCAACATCAGCAGCAGCAGCAAGGGGTTTATAATGCAGGTTCTGTAAACAATGGCGTGAGTGTTGTCTCTAAAATGAACCACCAGAACATAGTTGGGAACAAGGGCTCATCTCAAATGACATCACAAGAATTGCAGTTTCAGCAGCAAATGGAATTGCATAACAGTAGCCAACAGTCCTCTATGCATTCACTGCACAAAAATCCTCAGCAACTCCAGATGCAACAACAATCATCACAACCAAGTCCCTCACAGCAGCTTCAGTTGCAGCTACTGCAGAAGTTACAGCAACAGCCACAGTTATCCGCGTTGCAGCAGACACAAAGCCATCAACTGCAACAACTGCTGTCGTCTCAGAATCAACAGCCCTTCTCAGCTTCAACATTCATGCAGCCTCCACAGGTGCAGGTGAGTCATCATCAGCAACAAGGACATATGGATAATAAGCCTCTTGTAGCCGCTGGAAGATCACATTCTGGTCACACAGATGGAGAAGCTCCTTCTTGTTCCACCTCGCCTTCCACCAAGAACACCAGACATAATAATGTTTCACCAACAAATGTCCTGAGCAGAAATCAACAACAAGGACAAGCAGGATCTGTAGCTGCAACTGCTGAACAGATCAAGTTTAAAGGCGCAGTAACAGATCAAATCAATGTATCTACAGCGGGAACAACTTATTGTCCCGTTGGCACTGCACAGCAGCAACAACAGACTTTCCCACTACCATCATTCGGTTTTGACGGAGATTGCCAACAAAGAAACAACTTATCCTTCGCTGGTAATCTTGAAACAGCAACTCCTGATGCACTCTACTCTCAAAAGGAGTTTCAGAACTTGGTTCCAAACTATGGCAACGCACCAAGAGACATGGAGACAGAGCTCTCGAGTGCTGCAACAAGTTCTCAGTCATTTGGTATTCCCAGCATCCCTTTTAAGTCCGGAGGCTCAAATGAGATAGGTGGGATCAATGATTCAGGTATCATGAATGGTGGTGGACTCTGGCCTAATCAAGCTCAACGAATGCGAACATATACAAAGGTTAGAGATCTCTTTCTCTCCCTCAGACCAAAGCTCTTATCTTATTGCAACTTAAATTTATAAACTCCTTGCAGGTTCAAAAACGAGGGTCAGTAGGGAGATCAATAGACGTTACCCGTTATAGCGGATACGATGAGCTCAGAAGTGACTTAGCAAGAATGTTTGGCATCGAAAGACAACTCGAGGACTGGAAACTCGTCTACACAGATCATGAAAACGATATATTGCTTGTTGGTGATGATCCTTGGGAGTAAGTTCCAGACCAACAACAACAACATGCTCTTAATAATCTCCTCTGAGTCAAAACATTTTCTAATCATCTTTGGTCTGTTTTTTTTTTTGCTTTAGAGAGTTTGTGAACTGCGTGCAAAACATAAAGATACTATCATCAGTAGAAATGCAGCAAATGAGCTTAGACGGAGATCTTGCAGCTATCCCAGCAACAAACCAAGTCTGTAGTGAGACAGACAGTGGAAATGCTTGGAAAGTACATTATGAAGACACTTCTGCTGCAGCTTCATTCAACAGATAGAAGAACAAGAAGATGCAAAATACATCAAAATCAACTTATGGTACAGCTTTTTTGTGTGTGCTACAAACAACAGACTACAAGGTGTATATATTAGGACAGTGATTTGGTTCGTCATTCTAACTTGATGTTGCTGTCTTTTTCTTCTTTCCATAACCTGGGAACAACCAAAAAGATGACTAAAGTCTATTAATAGTGTCTCTATATCAAAATACTACAATGTAATCATTATATTCAGTACAAAACGGACTCCTATACAGATACTACAATGTAATGTAACTAAAATCAATCAGTCATATTCAGTAATCATTATTTCTCTGGAAAAAATGGATAGTTTTCAGATTCTTATAAAAGCACTAAACTCAGCAAAATAGTCAACTTCGAGTTACAAAACAAAAAGGAGTTAAATCACGTGGAAAACAAGTACAAGCAAGAAACCAAACAGTCTCTGTTAGTTCTGTGCTGTGTTTTACCCGCGTAGTCACTGGCCACACAATAAGTCCGGCTTGTTAAGACATCGCCACGTGTCAAATCACCCTGACACTTTGCGGAGTTTTACTCGAGAGACTAAAAAGCAACAAACGCGCTCTCTTTGACATTGAATTTGACTTTCTTCTTCACGCGCCAGAAAACGTCAAAAACTCACTCTTCACTCTCTCTTTATAAATAAACCCTAAAGCGGCAAATTCTATTATTCAATTCAAATAGAAAAAAGCCAAAGCAAACTCAAAGAGTCAAGAGCAGAGCTAAACCAAAAAACAGAATCATTCCGTATTAACTGAATTGAATTGAATTAAACCGGGTTTGGTTTGGTTTAGTGATGGAAGGACCGTCGTCTACAAAGTACAAAGGAGTGAGGAAAAGGAAATGGGGAAAATGGGTTTCAGAGATCAGACTTCCCAACAGCAGAGAACGTATATGGTTAGGCTCCTACGACTCTCCCGAGAAAGCGGCGCGTGCCTTCGACGCTGCTCTTTTCTGTCTCCGAGGCAACAATGCCAACTTCAACTTCCCGGATAATCCTCCGGTTATCTCCGGCGGAAGAAACATGTCCCGGTCTGAGATCCGAGAAGCCGCTGCTAGGTTCGCTAATGCGGAGGAGAATGTCGTGGCTGAGATGGTGCAGCTGCAAGAGTCTTTGGAAGAAAATGTTGCGAGAGAGATGGTGCAGCAAGAGAAGTCTACTTCGACGTCGATGATGGAGATTGATGCGGAGTTTCTGAGTAAGCTTCCGACGGTTGGTTCGGGTAATTTTGCTTCGGATTTCGGGTTGTTTCCCGGGTTTGCAGAAGAATATTGCGGCGATCGTTTTGTAGAACAGGTTGAACCTACGTGGAATGGTTATGATGAGTCAGTGTCTCTTTGGAATTTTTGAACTACATGATTCCCTCGCAGAGAATCTAAATTTTATTTTTATTTTTGGGAAGTCGGGCCCATCAAATGTGTTTCATTTTATTTTATATCCAGAATTTTAATTTGGATAAGTTTATTTTTTATTTTATTTTTGTAATTTTCCCGACTTTCTTGGACATTATTTCGATAATGATTCATTATCCTCCGTCAAGTATTTGTTTTTGTTTTTGAATTGAAGAAAAAATATATTTGTATTCAAGTGAAATATAAATGATTTCTTTGAAGCCTTTTACAACCAATAAGGCGGCGAGGCTGTGTTGATGTTCTTTGCTTTTTTTTAACCAGTATCTTACTATTACAGTTCCAATATTCATACCATAAACTCACTGAAAAGATTATAATTCCACTAGTGTTTTGTGTTAGAACTGTTGATTATATAGTCAATGTTCATTTGTCCAAAAAAATAAAAAAATATATATATAGTCAATGTTCATTTGTCCAAAAAAAATAAAAAAATATATATATATAGTCAATGTTCATTTGGCTAACAGTTAGTTCTCTTGAATTTCTTCCTTTACGCAACACTTTCACATTTCATATACTAATGAGTTTTGTAAGCTGTAGTACCTTGTGTAGGTTACCATTGTAACAACAAAAATCCATTTGAAACTATCCTTGCCTTACAAGCAACTATTTATTACAAACGTGTCTAAGAAACTCTGCAAATCTCTGAACAAGTAAACGAGCATTGTCAGAATCAGGATCCCTTATATGAAAGACATGATCTTCATCCTCAGTCTCCACAACTTCAACTCTTCCATCCCATCCACTCTCCTCCAGCTTCTCCGCGTAAGCCCTACCTCCCTTATAGTCAGTACATCCTTTCCCGCCAACATCACCAAAACCCGCCCACACTCCAATCCAGATAGATCCGACCGACCACATTAATCCACGGATCCTCCACTTCCCTTATATGAATGGAGATGGATGGTTGAGTTATATATATAATATGCCTTTCTTATATGAATGAAGCTAGAGGCTGGTTTGTTTGAGCCACATTGTTTTTTGTGGATTTGTTACACCTACCTACTAATCTCAATAACTCGCTTAATAATAAAAAGTGACTAAATCAAATAAGAGTCTTCAGTAGGTTGGAAAGCCAAGCTTGAAGCCTATTTACACAACAAACCAGACAACGATCATCCACCACAAATACTCAACCGTTGAAAGTTATGCAAGACTACACTTTCCATTGCCCAAACACAGCTCTAAAACTGAGCCTGAAATGTACTTTCCAAATTAAGAAACGACATCGGCTATGTAATAATACTTTCACATCCTTGCCTTCTACAATTTTCTTGTCATTTGACCATGTCATACCAATATTAGACTTAACCCACGACTCCAAAAGTAGAGCTATTATGTCTCTTCTGAGGTTTAAGAACAGTCCTTAGGGAATGGACTAAAAATGAAACTAATATATAGTCCTCAACAAAAATTGTTGTTCTTACAAAACCAGTAACATACGGGACTAATTATGAGATAACCCAGAGAGAGAGTGGGTGTTTAGACAGGACATAAGACAGCACCTAGTAAAAAGAAGAAACTAAAAGACAAGACCACTAACAAGAATGAATCAAATACATACAAATATATGATGTTTCCTTTCTAGTAACTGAATAGTTGTTAAGAACCATGGACGCATGAGCTTTTACATATATATGCTTGTTTCTTGATGCAAACGTCAAAAAGAATAGCCCGGTAAGGTTTGTGGTATTTTGGCGATTTAATCAGATTTGAGCTGCTAAACCGAGCCAAGAAGTGGTGTTGTCTCCGGTTTGAGGCTTTGAAGACGCTTTGGCTGGATCGCTTAGTTGGTATGGTGCATTTGACGTAACTCTATCCTTTCTCTTGGCCAAGAACCGATGGAGTGAAGCTCTTCTAGCAATAGGAAGTTCTATAAAACAAAACAAAAAGGATAATTTCTTTGTTAGAGGCTGTGTAAGAAATTAAGAAGAGAGATGTAAACAAGAAGAGATTTGAGATAGATTACCGCATGCCATTGCAGTTGAAGAGGACAAGATTGGCTCTTGTGCTGCGGTTTTCATGAGATGAGGAATGTTGCTTATGACCTCAGTTTGATTCTTTGGTAAGTTAACAGTAGTTGTAAAACCGGTGAAGCTATTAGCGGTTCCTTTGCTAGCCAAGTCCATAACTTCTTTGGCTTTCTCAGAAGTAAAGTCATTGAACACAATCACTTCCCCGTTGTAGAATATAGTCAACGGTGCTGTTTGAGGCTCTGGTTTCACAGATCTGCGTTTCAAGATAACACCATATATTAGTCAAAGAGATAACAAAAAAAAAAAAAATTTACTACATCAGATTCATATGTTTGAACAGAACATACCTAGTAGTAGTGGTCTGTGTCATTTTGGGGACATCTTCTTCCTTGAGGAGAGAGGAAGACGAGGAAGAGAAGCTTGGTTGCCTAGGAAACAGATTCTTGGGTTTAACTTCTTGAGCGGCCTCCATGGAAGAAGCTTCACAAGGGAATAAACTCATGGTTGTTGTATGCTGACGTGTGATGCCTGCAAACAACATGATCCAAAATAATTAGATTCTATTCTTGAATTCAGAAACAGAGTAAACTAATCTAAAAAAAGAAAGAAAGAGAAGGTTGGTTCCTTACCGTTGACTTCAGAAGGCTTGCATGACATCCCTAAGCTTAAATCTCCAAAGCTACCGTTCTCTTTCAGATACTGACTCAAACGACTACACGTCAGGGAGAAGCTAGGCTTCCTGGAGAATCTCCGTGTAGCGGCGGAATCAGAGCACTCCATAGAACTTGACATCGTTTTATAAATCTTCTCTTATTATCTGATAGAAAACTGGTCTTCTTCTTCTTCTTCTTCCTGTTACAGTTTGAGATTTGTCACGAGGGAGAAATGTTTAGGCTCTTTAAAAACTTTTTTCTTCTTCTGAGTTGGTTGCTGAGTCCTCTCCTACCTCCAATACCAAATATATATATCAATACTATTCGTATTAAATAATGTTTTATTTAAATCGTGAATCCTTTGGAAACACGTGTTTTATTTTACTATTTATTTGAATAATAGTCCGGAAATTTGTCTCGGTGCACTGTTATCTTTAACCCTTTCCCGCCGTTTAGGTAGAATGACAATTGTATCCCCTCTTGACAACGCTACTTATCTATTAGAGGGTTGTTTGCTGTAGGACGAAGTCAAACAAAACCAGACACTGACTGAGACACTGCAAGCTTAATTGTTTTTCCCCATGTAGTAGTTTTGCAACTTGCAAGTGAAAAAGAGACATGTTGTTCTTGTTGTATCTATTTTCTCATGAACCATTTTTGGTAGTTGGTACAGTGATTGATCACGCAATTAGTGTTTTCTCATATCAAGTCAAGTCTATGATTTGTATTTTCTTTTTTACAGATTATGTCATGCTTTTTAATTTAGTTTTATTGCATGTAGTGGTCCTTTTTAAGTCGATTAGATAGTCTATTTACAAATGACAGTGTATGTTTAAAAAACATTGTAATACTTTGATAAGGAGAAATGTTGTTAGTAAGAACAAATTACTCCAAGTTTTGTCTAGATATGAAAATTAGTTGCTGAAAAATTCTGTATTTGCTTAATATGACATCACCTAAGTAAAGATTTTGAAACACTCGAATAAGCAAATTGCTCATTAACTTTTATTATTTACCATATATATATATGGTCTAAAATTTATTTACAATGTCTAAAAATATAAACTAATTATATAGAATATTCGATAAAGCTAATTGATAAAATTATATTTTATAACTTTAATAATGAATTTTGTTACTAAATCATGAAAGATGCACCATGTTAGTTGAATGACTCTAAGTTCGTGTCCTCCACTACAAAACTAATCATGGTTGATCATTATCAGAGTTTTAAATAGCAGAGGACCCAATTTTTTCACAGGGTTTTGATAAGTAACTTATAGTATATAAGAAGATTTGATGGTTGGTGCTCATATTATCTGTTTAAAACGATTCTAAGTTCTAACAAAGTATTTGTAACTATTGGCTACATTTGATGCATGTAAGGAGATGTTAAATTTTTTTTTGTGGTACGCTTAACTTTTCCTCATGGTTTAGGTGGTCAGAATTTTTGGTATGGGCTTATTGGCGAGATAGCTATGTTTGAGTGGTAAATTAAGTAAGTAGACATGATTTTGACATAATGTATTGTCAGACTTTTTATCTTCTTTTTATCCGGTTATGTCCCTGCAAGAAAAAGGTTACCAGTTGTATATTATAAAACAAACTACGTGTTCATTTTCTGTGGTATATTGCAATCACATAATTCATGCAACGTGTGGAAGAAATTTATTCAACATATATAATGTGTTTTTCATTCTGTATGAGCATATGGAACAGAAAAAGTGACAAACAAACTATTCTATCTAGGTTGCACATATACTATTTTATTTATGTGACATAGTACATCACTCAAACCGTTATTGAGAACTAGACATATAAAACCAACCACAACACTTAAATAATATACCCAAATCTCTATTTAGTAAATCTAAACCCTATATTCTAATCACTAAGCCCTAACTACAATTATCCCCTTTCCTTTCTAAATACTAAACCCTAAATGCTAATCACTAATCCATAACCCAAGTGTAAATCCTAAACCCAATAGAATGGAACAAAATAGATAGAATAGTACATATTGGTGCACTCTTTATTAACGATCAAATGGAACAATAAATGATAGGTTCACTTAACCCAATCTTCAACCCCCACCTTCGAAATACTAAACCCTAAACCCAAATATAGACCCTATACCCAAATAGAATGGAACAAAATAGATAGAGTAGTATATATTGGTGAACAAAATAGAACACTCTTTATTAATCATCAAATGGAACGATACATGATAGGTTCACTAAACCCAATCCTCAACCCCACCTTCCAAATACTAAACCTAAATATAGACCCTAAACCCAAATAGAATGGAACAAAATAGATAGAATAGTACATATTGGTGAGTAAAATAGAATGGAACATGATAACTTATTGTAATTCCAAAGATCTAAGAAGAATCAATTTGGGAAATTGGAGAGGAAAGATTTGTTACTAACCGTCGCTGCAACTTTAATGCCGTACGATGTCGGAGGATATCACAAGCAAAGAAAAATACATGATTGGAATGGGAGTTCGAAGGAGATGTCAAATTTTGAGGAGAAGGAGGTGGAGGTGACGCAGAACTGGACTCGTTGTTAGAGACGTTCACTTTCCAGAAATTACTTAGATAAGTGAAAAGGAAGGTGAGGAAGATGATAAACCACGATTTTCAGTTTTACATCTAATAATTATATTATTTTTTTTGTGTGCAGGTTTAACCGGTTGATGGTAGGGACAAAATAGTATTAATATGGAAAGATAACGGCGTGTGTTGATCTGTTAGGGTTAATAACTATTTCACTAATTAGACTTTTTCGTGTGACTATAGAGCCCAATTCCCCTTTTTGGTATCTCATACTAACAATAAAATAAAACCAAACACGTCCAAAATATTTTTTCTCAAATGGTGATTTTTTTTTAATAAATAGTGAATAAGATAGAGACGTTACAAATCAATAGTCAACCTTCTTTGGCATGTTGTAACGTGCTATTCATCATACTATAATCTTATAATTTGAATATACTCAAACCATTTTCAACCTAATTATTATAGCGCTTACTAATGCGTGATTCATGCAGAGATACAAACTAGTGTTTATTTTTAGGGTCAGAACTAGCGTTTGTTCTAATTATTTCAGAGATACAAACTAGTGTTTGTTTTCTTGGGGTTAGAACTAGTGATAGGGCATCTTACCCGATAACCAAAATTGTACTGAACCCGATCTAAAAAATTTAAATGAGATACAATCTATAAAAAATATTCAAACAGATATTGAATTAGAAAAAATGAATATTTGAACCCGGAAGGTATTTCCAAATAGATATTTGGATTATCAAAATAATATATGTTAATCTTAAATTTATAAGAGTTTACACTCATTCATTTCATTTTCATAGTTCACACTTAATCTAACCAAATTTTTATCGTAAACTTAATGGTTTCATCTATAATTTTTTTACCTTTTTTATATTTATCGGAGAATCCACTCTTTAAAAGTTGTTTTGGTGAAATATTACTCTAAATACTACTCTTCATTTTTGAGTTCTTGATGTACTTCTCTTTGCTAACAACTTATTTTATTGTTGTTTGCTTAATACAATATTGTTTTATCTTACAATATACACATTATTATTTGATTCAAAATTTTTTATTTTATTTCATGAATTTTTAAGTAAATTGAAATATCTGAATCCAACCAAATTTTCCAAATTTAAATTATAAATACAAGTACATAAATACCTTAACAGATTTGTACTCATATATTAAAATATTCAAAAATCTGAAATATCTGATCCAGATCCTAGAATGCCCATCCCAAATCAGAACTAGTTTTTTTTTTCTTTAAGCAAAAAAGAAAATACAAACAACTAAAGTCTACGAATAGTTTAGTAATTAAATGCGGCAGAAGCTAAAGAATAGAAGTCAATCCACATGTCGGCCGTCACAATTGATTAACGCCATGAACCATATATAATTGAATCGAATAATCAAAATTAATGTTGAGACCTAATCATATGGTCATATAAGAAAATGGAGCTTAGAGTAATATCCGGCACCTGCGACTAATCCATGTGGCAAGGGTACTATCGTCTAACTGATGAAACGTAAACGAAGCAAACCTTCACGGCGTTAATACTGTGAGTGGATCCAAGTTGAAGACAACTATGTCACCATCCACATGTTCTGTCGACCACGTTTTGTTATAAAAAATCTATATAATATTATTTGAGAAGTCACTTTCTTAGGTGTCGCGCTCACATTAACTCTCAGACCGGTTGATTACTATGATACCCCTAATGAATTAAAATTATATTTGAATATTATTACTATTATTTTTTAAATCTTCCAAATAAAATTATAAATAAAAAGGAAATATTTATAAAATTTACAAAACTATTTAAAAACGAAAAATAAGTATATGTAATATAGTTTCATAAAAATGGAAATTTTACAAAATAGTAATATTTAACTTAAATATATTTTTAAATAACATAAATTATACTTTTTAAGTAATAAAATACTTTATATCTATATCTTCTTAGATGAAAAAAAATATTGGTATATAATGTGTTTTCATAAAAAATGTTCATACAAATAATCTTGATATTAGAAAAAGAAATATTTTTTCTTTAAAAAAATAATTTAAACAATAAAATATATATATTTTCAATGTAATTATTTTTTTATATATCTATCTATTTTATTAGATGATTACATAAAATAATTAAGTAACATAAACTGATATATGTATAATTGACAAAACAAATTATAATTAGTATTATGGAAATTTTTTTAGTATATTTATTTGATTATAATATCTTACAATTACAGAAAAAATATAAATTATATTTTACTTATATAATATCATTTCTCAAAAACAATCACATTTTACTGCATATTTTAAGAGATGTTAAAACGAAAACTAAAAATAAATTTAATAATAAATTTCAGTTTACCATCCAATCAATCTAAGGCATAAATTATTTAGACTTTATAAAATATTTTAATTATTGTAAATATTGATATGTGTTCATAAGCTTCCAAATTTTTATTATTACTTATGTATGTAATTTAGAATCATACACTTTAGTTTTTATTTTTTTCGTTCTTAGCACAAAAAATCTTAAAATACATAATATTACTAAAATATGCTTATATTTCTA